ATACATACACACACACACACATATCTCACAGCCAAACCAGACAGCACAAAGTTGGATTTATTGTTTCTGACAATCTCATAGTAACAGTTACTTTGCTTACATTCCTAGCACCACAGATCTGAAATACAATTTTTCCTTTCATTTAAATGTATACATTCAGGAAGTTTTAAAATAATGTTATGCATAGAATACCTGAACAACCTAGCTTTATCTTTATAAACCTTGCATAAAATTTAAAAAAGGCACACAAATTTTCATTTTATTCTACCTTTTAAAATGCCACCTTTTATTGTCTTTAAAAATTTTTATCCATTCAAAAATATTTATGTTTAACTGCCCAATGTAAGACAGATGAAGCAGTTTCCGTGTCTGAACTAGGCACTGTCTTGACTGAAGCGAAGTAAGAACTCGATCAGCGTCCTGGTGGGTCTCCCAGTCATGCCTTTCCGCAGGTACGGAACCTCATCTTTGTTGGTCATCACACCTGCAATGTCTAAATGCGCCCACTTAGGATGCGTCACGAATTCCTTCAGGAACGCTGCGGCCGTGCATGCTCCTGCAGATCTGAAGAGAAATGCAAACAGCAGCGCTTACCCTCTGTCAATGTGCACCAGACATTTCATTAAAGTCCTACATTCTTATGAAGTAGGGGTCTAGGACTGAACAGCAAAAGTCAAGGATACAGGACCCAAAAAGGAGTTAAATGTTCTCAAAGTGATTTCTGGATTAACTCCCTATTAGTTTCTATGTCAAATGTGGCTTTAAGCAGGAAAGGATAAATTCTAGATTCCTTTCTCTCATGTAACACATTCCTGTACTTTCAATTTCTTTCCTTTATTATTTGCTTAAGATGATCTTTAGATTTGAAAACGTGAAATTTTGAGAATACATTTGGTGATATACATTGAAAATTCAAGTCTTCAAAGCTTACAAGCACTTCATCAAAAGAAAACTGGAGTGAAACATTTTGAAAACAGTCATTTTGGCTACCAAGGTCGACTACAAAAATGTCTGTTTAGCTCATTTTACGTACCTATATT